GCTCAAGCTCACCACAACAGCAACGGGAGGTGGCTACAAAATTATTAAGTAGTACAGTATTACTACATTTAATTTTAAGCACTTATGATTTTAATACTGTATCTTTACACTTGTTTACATTTTCCTCAACTGTGGAATGGTGCTATGTGTGGTCTGTGTGTATACATTTTGATAAATGTTAAGTTTTTATAATAGATTTGTATATGTTTTGTGATAATAAATGTTAAAATAGACTGGTATTTACATATATTTTATGCATTCATGACATAACTTTTTCTTTAATTTTTGAATATTTCTAGGGTACACAGTTTATCTGCTAGTTTTTTTAAATTGTCAAAATTCTCCAAAAATTTCTCAATATATTTATTGAAAAAAATCCACGTGTTAGTGCATCATGTGTTTCAAACCCATGTTGTTCAATTGTATTTTTCAGGCTTGAGTGATTCAATGTACTAAATAGCTCATACCGTCTAGGAGAATTATACCATTAGATATGAGTGAAGTTTCAAGTTTAATTTGTATTGAAAGTAAATAGTATGTACTGCTTGGCTTATAGGCAGGTAGGAGCTTCTTAAACCAATGAGAAAATATCTGCCTATTTAGCTGAAGCAAGAAAGCAAAGATTGGGTTAAGAAGGACTATTTCATAAAACCAAGACTTTCCATAGATACTTTTTCTTTACTAATTTAACTTTTGTTGTGATTCTGTTTATAGTAGTTTGGTTTATTGAGGAGTATTTGCACTTGTTAGGAATTACTGTCCTTTGTTGCCAGATGTCCAGTCTGTAAAACCATAACCATAATATTTTGTCTATTCTTGTCATTGTTTCTGATAGGAGGGTAAATTCAATCCATATTCTTCCATCTTGGCCAGAAGGGGAAATCCTGACCTTTGTCTTCCAAATTTGTTCATAGAGATCTTGACATTTTTGTCACCATCATCAGACCATCTGAATCCTTGACAACTTTATCTTATTCAGTGCAATGACCCCTTTTTACTTCATTCACATGACTATCCATTTTCTACTCAGAGTTAATTTATTGTTTTCTTAGTATCCTAGACTTTTGTACTTTGTAGCTTTTGATTTGTGTGCCAGTTTTTGTTCATATTAGATACTTGTTTTTAATCCCTTCAAATGCCACTTGGCCTTATGTCTTACTCCAGTCATTGTTCTATTTCCTGAAAACTTTGAGTGTTTTGCATAAATACAGTTGTATTATGCTTTGCCTCAGACTGGAACCTCATACCACACTTTTAAATTTCTTTTCTGCTGTGGGGCACCACTGAAGTCATGGCACAAGATGCAAAAATCTGCTCCAAATTTATGAGCGCATAACCAAAAATTGTACAGGAGTTAATGACTCTGGAGGCCACCCTTTAACAATGAAAAGGTCAATGGTGAAGAAATGTTTTCCTCTTTAATCCCTCAGATTGACTCAGACTCAGGAGGTCTCTGGAGGATTGAGCCCCAGCTACCCTCCATTACAGCCTTGTATTGGCTTTCCCTCCTTCCCTGTGATGTAATGCCACTGTCAAAATCCTTTATTCTCTTTCCTCGACTGCTCTATCCTCCTCATTTATTTCTATGTTACTGATAATTGTAGAAAATAAGAAAAAAAAACATTTTGGATAGATCTCCTAGTAAATCATACCATCTTACACTAAATGGATTCTTTTTCTGCCAAGTGATCCCAACTAGTCATCTTGTGTAATATTGCTGCTTTGATCTTTCATGTCTTCATCCTCAAAACTGGCCTTCCTCATTCTCAACCTGAGTTGTTGAAAAGTATAAGACTTTACAAGATTGGCTTCCACATTGTCTTTTGTCTATATTTTAAAACAGTTTTCAACTGATTTCTCCCCTTTATAAAAAAAAACTATTTTAAAAAATCTTTTTTAAAAATTAATTTTATTTAAATTCAGTTAATTAACATATACTGTGTTATTAGTTTCAGAGGTAGAATTTAGTGATTCATCACTTGTATGTGACACCCAGTGCTCTTTATATCACATGCCCTCCTTAATGTCCATCACCCAGTTACCCCATCTGCCCCACACCTCCCCTCCAGCAACCCTGTTTGCTGTCTGTAGTTAAGAGTCTCTTATGTTTTGTCTCCCTCTCTGATTTCATCTTTATTTTTCCCTCCCCTCTCCTATGATCCTCTGTTTTGTTTCTTAAATTCCACATATGAGTGAAATCATACGATAATTATCTTTCTCTGACTTATTTTGCTTAGCATAATACCCTCTAGTTCCATCCATGTAAAAAAAAAATCTTTAATCCACCTCTACTTTCCAATGTGAGCAGAAACATCAGTTATTCTTAGAGTTAATTTTTCCAATTGTGCTTTTGATTATTTTCAATCCTGACTTCTCCCATCCTTTTTTACCAGCCTTCACATATCCTTCCTTAATTTCTAGTAGTGGCTCCTTTTGCGGACTGCAGCTATGCTCAGATCCTACCTATAATAGAAGAAAACAAAACACAAAATCAAAATCCTTTTTTTTTACTTCATTATTATTCTTATTAACCATGAAATTTTCTTGCTGTTTTCATTCAATGGAACATTTATTGAAATAGTACTCTATTTATCTCATATTTATTCTTTAAGCCCTGACCAACTAGTTGCAGTCTCTATCACTCCTTGGAAACCACTGTCTTAAAGGTCAGTGAAAGATTGGGGCGCCTGGGTGGCTAGTTGTGAAGTGTCTGCCTTTGGCTCAGGTCATGATCCCAGGGTCCTGGGATTGAGCCCCGCATCAGGCTCCCTGCTTGGTGGGGAGCCTGCTTCTCCCTCTCGCACTCCCCCTGCTTGAGTTCCCTCTCTCGCTATCTCTCTCTCTGTCAAATAAATAAATAAAATCTTTAAAAAGAAGAAAAAGGTCAGTGAAAGATAAAATAATCATTATACCTCATAGCCTTTCCTCAGTCATCATCTTTGATCACATTTCAGCATGTTCCAATAAATCAGTTTTCTATTGTGATATTGTAAAAATTTCTATCTGTCTAGCTTCTTACTCTTTGCATTCCCTAATATTGCCTTATCCACTCCCAGAGCTCTCTGTAGGTTCTTTCTCTGACTGATCTTTCTCCCACACCCCAGTCTTGTATTATTGCTCATTTCTTATTGTATATTACTGCTGGACAATGAGTTGAATCTCAAAGTTAGTTTCTCTAAAATGGAGCTTATTATTCCCACTTACTTCCTCTTTACCTCAGCTCTTTCTTCTAACTTTCTTGTTTTTGAACAGTAATACTTTTTTTTAAGGCACCAGTGGATTTCAACTCCCTCTTTGCATCTTCAGTTTTTGGAGAAGAGAAAACCAAGCACTCTAATTTATAAATATTAACTTGGTTAATACCCACAACAATTCACATTTCATACATAAGTAAACTAAGACCCAAAATAGTCAAATGAGTTGACTAATATCTCAGAGCTATCTAGGAATGGGAACTATATCTGCTGGATACTAAAATTCATACACTTTTCACTGTGTAACAGAATAGTGACTCTTAAACAGCATACTATCCTGAATCATCAAAGAAATATTCAATTACTTTTTTGCTATATATTAAGGAAGGAGAGCAGACAAATACATTTTAGAAAGATTATGAACCTTTTCAACAAGAATTGAAGGTAATAAATACTTTGTTAAACTTTGTATTATTAAAATGCTGTTAACCAGAGCAACCTCTTTCCCAGATTCCTCATTCAGTCAAGGTTGTGTTACATATTTAACAGGGTGGTTGTGTTATATACTAAACTGGGTGGTTGTATTATATACTAAATTGGGTATATATTCACTAATGTCTTTCATATTGAGCTCAGAGTTGGAAATAGGTTTTTTTTTTAATTTTTTAATTAACATAAGTTATTATTTATTTCAGGGGTACAGGTCTGTGATTCATCAGTCTTACACAATTCACAGCACTCACCATAGTACATACCCTCCCCAATGTCCATCACCCAGCCACCCCATCCCTCCCAGGAAATAGGTTTGTTTTTTTTTTTAGTGTATGTTATTAATTGGATATTTTCCAGTGTTTCAACAATTAAAGAAAATCTTCACCCATTGAGCTTCAGAGCTAAGTTAAGTTCGACAACTGAGACAGAAAAATCTAAAGGTAAAGGGAGGATCAATAGCAGCAGTTAGTTAATAGTGAGGGAATGTCCTATGAATAGGCAAAGTAGGAAATTACATGATAGCCTATAAGTATGGATTATACTCTGGGCAAAGGATGCACCATCATTAGGCAATTGCACACTGAACAACTGCCAGTTAAGTACCATTTTATCCAATTTAGACCTAATGAACTTAGTAGATGAGATCTCTGCTGAATTAAGGAGCAATCAAAGCCTCATTCTGGATTCTGTGCCATCTAGGTCAAGGCGTTCCAAAAGGGTTGTGTATTATTTCGTACAGAAAAGAGATAACTTTCTTATCCTTCCTTTTGGTTAATTCTTTTTTTTTTAAGATTTTATTTATTTATTTGAGAGAGAGAGAGAGAGTGAGAGCAAGAGCAGGGAGGAGAGGGAGAAGCAGGCTCCCTGCTGACCAGGGAACCCGACGCGGAACTTGATCCCAGGACCCTGGGATCATGACCTGAGCCAAAGGCAGATGCCCAACCGAATGAGCCACCCAGCCGCCCTAATTCTTTAAGAAATATTTATGGAATATGATTTGTGCCATAGAAAGTATCATTTGGTGATTGGTAGGTAATGATATGACAGAATTGGAAAACTGTTCTTTGCCTTTAAGGAGTTTTATTTCCATTTTTGCTAATTTTTTTCAATTACTCTCAATGACTTTTTTTTTTTTAATCAAAAAGATAAAAAGAATTTTGTTTAGGTCTAAAAGCAAAGTAACTCTCCCTTAGCAAGCAGGTTGATAAAAGGTCTTTAGTAAAAACAATAAGGAATGAAGAGGTGAGGATGTGTTTTGTGTACTCAATCTCACCTATCTCAGAGGTGCAATGACACTGTGGTTTTATTTGGAACTTTCAGGAAGTGCAAAAGATGTGTCAGAAGAAGCCCATGTCTGCCTACCCTGCAGGGAGGGCTGCCCTTACTGTGCTGATGACAGCCCCTGCTTTGTCCAGGAGGATAAGTATTTGCGACTTGCTATCATCTCCTTCCAAGCCCTGTGTATGCTGCTCGACTTCGTTAGCATGCTGGTGGTCTACCACTTTCGCAAAGCAAAGGTAAACCCAGGTACCCTGGTTATGAACTTCCTTTTTATTATGCAGTGACCTCTTCTTTCTTCAAGCAAATAGAGTTTTTCCAAGTCCTACTTGCCTCTCTATTTAGTAGAAGTCTTCCTTTAATATAATCAGACTAGAATATGAACATTATATTCTTTAGTTTCCCAGGAGAAATAGGGATTAAAAATATGGAATCTTGTTATAACATTTTCTTCTACAGAATGTTTCTCCTTATTTAGCATGAAGCTTGAGTACTTTATTGCCTTAAAGGACTCTCTTTTATATACCCAAACTCCACAAGTGCTCATTCACATAGTCATATGGAGTTACATAAATATTTCTATAGTGATGATCATCTTTAAAAAGCATTTACTATGCATTTATTTATATGTAGCTTTTTGTTCTTTTTATGAGTGATTTAGTGTACAACTAAACTATAGTTATTCACTATTTATATTTATCTATATCACTGACCTTTCTAGGAGGGTTCTATCCTCTACATTCAAAATGGGAAAGTTAAAGAAATCTTGGGAGATTATCAATTATGAAGTCATGGAACACATGCTTCTTGTGTTATTACAATGGTAACAGTTTAAAAGTTGATAATGTAAATAAATTTGTTACTAATTTCTTGGTTTTTACTTAGAAAAATGAGAGGGATGCCTGGGTGGCTCAGTTGGTTAGGGGTCTGCGTTCAGCTCAGCTCATGTCCCAGGGTCCTGGGATTGAGCCCCGCATTGGGCTTCACACTCAGCAGGAAGCTTGCTGCTTCCCCTGCTTGTGCTCACTCTCTCACTCTCTCTCTCTCTCTGACAAATAAATAAATAAAATCTTACAAGAAGATGACAAAATATGAAAACTAGAGAATGAAACAACCCCTCTTTTCATAGAAAAGAAAATTCAGTCTCTGAGAGAGTGTCAGTTGCCCAAAGTTACCCATCTAGGTTGGGATATTTATAATAGTTTTGTCTTACTCCAGCACACAGAATAAACAGTTAGAAGATTAAAAGTATTAAGTGACTAGATTAAGGCTCAGGAAAAAAAGATTAGGAAAAATTAGTTGAAATCAAGGGTGAGGTTAAGATATGGAATGCACTCCATGAGAGCAGGTATACTGTTTTAGTTCGGTGCCAGAAAGAACTTTCTGGGGTTTTCTAGTAGCACTGCAAAGAGGAGAAAAAAGTGAGTCAGTGTTCATAAGATAAAAACTGACCAGTCACCTAAGTGAAACTTGAATACGCCTTCAGTAAGTCTTTTTTTTTTTTTTAAAGACTTTATTTGAGAGAGAGCAAGAGCAGTAGGGGGCAGGGCTCAAGAAGAAGGAGAAGCAGACTACCTGCTGGGCAGGGAGCCCAATACAGAGGCTCCATCACAGGACCCCAGGATCATGACATGAGCTGAAGGCAGACACTTAACCAACTGAGCCAACCAGGTGCCCCATCTTATTATTAAGTCTTGAGAGAAATTTTTCCAGTGGATTCTTATAGAGAATATTGTTAAATGTACTGAATGATAAACATCTTTACAGGAAAGAGAATAATTTTCATAGTTTTATTTCTGTTAATTTTCTTGAAAGTGTGCTAAAGGTTTAATGCTTAAATATAGCGTAGGCAAATCAGTTCTGTAGAGGCATCACAAATGTGGTCCTGATACACTGTTCTTTGCGATTTAATGTTAATGCAAGGATACTTTTAGAATATCTAGGTTAGAGTTGGCCAGTGTGCATCACACATGCTGCCACTACAAGACGGTGATAGACACATATGGTCCTTTTTCCCATTTGATCCAGAGTCAGCATCAAAACCCCTCTCATTAAGCAGGACTCCCCCAGGTTCTAGGCATGAAATCTGGTTACCATCCTGGATCTAGAAAAATGGGAAGACTGCAAATTCATCACATAAACTTTCTTAAATATTGTTGTTCTTTCCTGTTTTCAAAAGTTATTCACTGAGTGACACCAAATTTGAGGTTCTAATCCGTCAAGATTGAATGGCAGCTTCTCCATATTTCTACTGAGTGTGAAGCTGTGTGCTGTAATATAATAGTGAGTCAAGCTGGTAACAGAACTGATATGCACTAAGGTTGGCTGAGGCATCTAGTCAGGCACGCACTGAAAAAGAATTTAGAATCTGAGACTTATGCCCACTTTCCTTTCTCCAGCATGTGAGCCATATTCTTTTATCCATTACATCAGAATTCATGGTATGTAGCATCTTAAATGCTTTTAGTATATAGACTCTATTTCATTTAGTGCCTGTTGGAAATGAATCACTTGAAAACTTAGGCCTCTTTTATTTATTAGACTTTTTCTGTGAATTCACAGAAATAACCACATTCACAGATCAAAAATAGGAAAAGTGGGGGCGCCTGGGTGGCTCAGTTGGTTAAGCGACTGCCTTCGGCTCAGGTCATGATCCTGGAGTCCCGGGATCGAGTCCCACGTCGGGCTCCCTGCTCAGCAGGGAGTCTGCTTCTCCTTCTGACCCTCTTCCCTCTCATGCTCTCTATCTCTCATTCTCTCTCTCTCTTAAATAAATAAATTCTTTCTTTAAAAAAAAAATAGGAAAAGTGATGGCAATGTCAAACCCAGCAGTTGATCCTGTACATGTAGACAGCATGCAAATATGCTGTAATGGTAATAGAGAAAAAGTTCTCTGTTCTAAATTGAAATACTGAGAGACATAAGGATGATACAGAAATTTGTCTTTTAGTTGCACTATTTCTCCAGGAAAGCCTGATTATAAGTACATTTAGTTAAATGAGGTTTACCCATGCCAAAAATATCAGCTCTGCAGTTAAGTACCAACAAACATTGGTCAAAGGTTAATTGAACATTTTACCATTTTAAGCAACACAAACTAGATTCCATTATATTTTTAGGTGAGGTTTGTAGTAGGATACCACAAAGAGCAAATTAAATTTTACTCTGCACAAACATTAAGAAAACTAATTATATACATTTGTCCTTGTGCCCTTGATTAAAGATTAAATCTGTCAACAAACTGAATGATTGTGACCCCAGTGAGATCTTCTAAAATAGCAATTTTAAAACAATATTTTAAAGATGCTGAATATTAAATATTTTGAAATTATTTCTACATTTTTAAACAAATAATATGACAAGTAACATATTTTTCTATTAGTTATTCTAAAGAGAGTTTGGTTTGTTACAGCTTAATAAGGTCAAGTGTTAGTACAATTTATTTCCAAATGAAAAATTTGAAAGAGAAAAGATACACTGGAAGGAACATCAGCATATTCCACTTCTGAAAATAATCTTTTGCTTCATTTATTCTTAGTAAATTTTAGCATGTTTTGTTTGAGCTTAGTAGTTTGGGGGGAAAAAATGATAGTCATTTTTTTAAAAGTGAGCATACTGTGGTTAGTGTTTTCCCTTACATTCCTGTAGTAGTTCTAGTTTTTCAATTAGAAATTAATTGACAAGGGATTTTATAGCTGTACATTTTTGGTTTGAAAAATTAGATGCTTTTAATATAGACTGTGACTGATCTGTTAATAAAATTCTACTAGACTAATGATGATGTACTAATGCCTGTTTTGGTGAAATAAAGGAAAATATATCACTTTTTTATTGTGCTGAATATACATAACAGATAATTTACCATTTTTAAGCTTACAATTCAGTGACATTAAGTACATTCACACCATTGGGCAGCCATCATCACTGTCAGTTCCAGAACTTTTTCATCATTCCAAACTGAACTCTACCTCCTAGTAACCTCTCTTCTACTTTCTGTCTCTACAAATTTGTCTTTGGAAAGTGTCTCATATAAATTAAATCATACACTATTTGTCCTTTCCTAGCTGGCTTACATCACTTAGCATAATGTTTTAAAGGCTCATCACCTTTGGCTGTTATAAATACCACCATGAACACTGGTGTACAAGTATCTGTTTGAACCTCTGATTTCAGTTCTTTGGATATAACCTTGGAATGGAATTACGGAATCATATGATCATACTGTGTTTACCTTTTAGATGAGTCACCAAACTCTTTTCCACAGAGGCTGGACCATTTGATATCTTTACCAATAATTCATGAGGATTCCAGTTCCTTTACATCTTTACCATCATTTGTTATTTTCTGTTTGTTTGTTTTTAATAATGACCATCTAATGAATGAAAGTGGTATCTTATTGTAGTTTTGATTTGCAAGATTAGTTACAGTTGAGCATCTTTTCATGTGCTTATTGACTATTTGTATATCTTCTTTGCAGAAATATTTATTCAAGTCTTTTGCTCATTTTTGAATCAGGTTGTTTGGTTTTTCATTGTTATATTGTAAGAGTTCTTTATATGTTCTGAATATTAATCATTTATCAGATGTATGATTTTCAAATTTTTTATCCCATTCTGTGTGTTGTCTTTTCACTCTCTTGAAAGTATTTTTTGATACCCAAAAGTTTTTAATTTTGATAAAACTCAATTTACCTGCGCTTTCTTTTGTTGCCTGTGCTTTTGGTCTCATATCTGAGAAATTATTCAAAAGCCAAAGTCATGAAGCTTTTCTTCTATGTTTTCTTCTGGAGTTTTATACTTTTAGGCCTTACATTTAGATCTTCAATCCATTTTGAGTTAATTTTTGTGTATACTATAAAGTAAGGATCCAACTTCAGTCTTTTGCATGTGAATATCTAGTTTTTCCCAGGACCATCTGTTGAAGAGACTCATTTCCCCACTGCATGGTCTTAGCACCTTTAGCAAAGATCATTTGACTACATCCATGAGGGTCTACTTCTGGGCTCTCTATTCTGTCCCATTGATCTATGCCTTTATGCCATTACAACACTGTTTTGATTACTGTGGCTTTGTAGTAACTTTTAAAATTACGAAGTGTGAGGCCTCCAACTTTTTCTTCTTTTCAAGATTGTTTTGGCTATTTGGAGCCCCTTGAAATTTCATATGAATTTCTGTTTTTCCCAGAAAACCATCAGAATTTGAATAGGGACTGCATTGAATCTGTAGATCCCTTGGCTGTT